CGACTTTGAAGATAAGGAAGACTTCCTTATTTCTCTAGGGGAACTTCATTGACTTGGGACTATATAAGCAGATGTAAACCCTCTTAGGAGGGGATCCGCAATTCTCTACACAAAACTCTTGTATTCTTAAGTTTTACAGAAACAGCAATAAAAACCGATCTTCAATCTTTTGTTCTGTGATTTCGCACAAGGAAGACTCCATCCTCCTTGAACCCTAAACAAATCTAACTGTGTGATTCTACCTGCCACAGTTTGGCGCTGTCTAAGGGGAACAACAGAGTTCTTCTTACTCAAGGACATCACCGCACAAGCGAACTGAAGATGACTGATGAACGCACCGACAACTCCAAACTCAACCGCGTTGACGAGACCGCCGATAATCCCGGCAACAAGGAGGACGACGCCAACATCGCTGAAGATATGACACAGAACCCCAACCAGGCCGCAACGGATGCAGCGCTTGCACTGGAAGTGCTGAACCAGATCAAGGCGTCGGTGGACGCGATGCTCAAAAGGCAAGAAGACCAAAAGAAGGTGAACGCCTCGGTGAACGACAGACTGGACACCCTCGCTTTGGCGGGCCGAGGCGTGAGGCCAAACCGCGCTTAGACGGTTAGGAGAGCAACTTATCCCGACCAGCCTCTTCTCAATACCAGACAGCGTGCCCAGAACACGGACTTTCCTGCCGTTATACAACAGCTCAGAGATAGGCGAGGGGAGCAACACAAGACGTACAACCTTTCCTCTCGAGAAGGATGCGCACACCGCTAACGGAACACCACAAGTCGTCAACCTCGACGAGGAAACACCGACCGAGGTCAACTCGGGTAGATGAACTGACGCGAGACGCACTGCACAACCCGAGGCCCACCCAGAAGAACGTACTGAGGCCCGCCGAGGTGAAGCAACCCGAGGCGGCGAGCATGGCGACCTCAATGGCATCAGCGACGAGGACCTCTACTGGATCCAGCAGCTCGACAACCGACGCGACGAGGCATTTCGCGCCCAGAAAGCTGAGATAACCGAGATGCGTGCCAGGATGGAGCGAACGGCCGAAGACATGAAGGCGGTTCAGTCTCAGATGCACAGGGCTACGAGCAAGGTGCCTCAACTCGATCTGGTGT